ACAGTCGGTGTTGGGGTTCTCAGCGACGGAAGAGGATGCTGGGCCAGGAATTTGAGGTTTGATATTGGATGGGCTGGCATTGAGGCGGGGGTGTCCAGAGCGGAGACGCTGGAATTGGGAAGTGTGAATGTTGACGCGTTGTTCAATGTGGAACAGGATGAGGATGGGGATTTGGTTGCCACAAAGGGGGGTACACTGTTGGATTTTGGGGGTAAGGTGGTCAGTGTTGTTAGTTCAAGAAGAGGCGTAGTTGAGTTATTTTGACTTGAACTTTGAATGAAGACCGCGCGACGACTAGGATAAAGGCGTAGGTGCTAGAGTAGTCGAGGTCACCATTATCATGATTTGAAATTGAATAGGCGATGATGCTGCGGTTGTTGGCGGGTCATGATAGGTGTAGAGTTCAGACGTTTTCTTGACGTTGAGAAGCACTTACGACGCACGAGGCCTAAAACATCGATGAGGTTGCAAACCGTGAGGGTGGGGTCTCTGACGAAAGAAAAGTTGTCAATGCGTTGCCCTACGAGGTAAAGAGAATGTTTAAGAGGTCCAAAGAAAAGAGGGTACATATCACTCCGTAAATGGAAAATATACCGCTCGGAAGAATGACGGAGAGAAACAAGATATTTCAACCAATAACTCAGTTTGCTGGTGACATTCTGTTTTTCAACTGAGAGAATTTCCGTATTAGGCAGTTTCACTGAGAAGATTCTTGGTGTATCGCACCTCTTTTCAGCTATTGACTGATATACGCCATATCCGCACCCAATTCCCCCGAGCGGAATATTTTCCATTTACGGTGTGTATGGCTAGAGTAGATGTGTATCGCCCAAGTATCGCCCTGAGAAGAATGACGTGATTTCATCAAAGCAAGGCGCACATAAATGTACAGCCTTACACAGCAATTGGCCTTCACAACAGCATTAGTCAACATAAAAAGATCGTCGCTCTAACTATGTAAACAGTACGAGAGCATTCGAGGGGTCCACTACGTGAATATAATGTAGTGTTGTAGCGCACGATCCTTCGTGGCTTCAGATGGACAAAAATACACTTGGAAGACGAGGTTAAATGGGAACCAAGAAGTATGTTCAAACGTGGACTTATCATTGAAGCATCCCTAATCGAGTATTTTTCAGCTCCACGATCAATCCAACAAATTAATCGCCACATGGGAAAGATCCCATGCAGGTATCTTCAGCCAGAAGGCAAGACCCGCAAGGTTATCAATATCTCATGCTGGAGTTGCGATAGCAGATGATATCGTGACTACATTTGTAGTCGTTGAACAATGGAAGAGAAAGTCGCAGTGACTAGCTTTGTTGATGATAAGGGCGCCAAATCTGTGTATGATAACGGAACGCAAAGGGGACTAAGGGAATGGAAAACGTGAGAGGGAGTCTAATCGAGAGGCTTGTGTGGGCTGTGATGTTCGTCGTTAGGTTTTCAATACAGAGAGCGAGTAGTACCTGTAGTGCTATTAAACTCTACACGGTGAACCAATACCAACAAAATAAACATCAGAAATAACGTCGTGATCCTGTCTGTTCCTATGCGTGTACTAATAACCACCATGGAGGTTTCCACACCTAACGCTATACATGGGTGAAGACACGCTTTAATTGTACTACCTGCATAGCCTGGACCCAAGACGCACTTACAAGTCCCAAATCGCTAACTATTCATTTACGTACCCGAGTAAAAGTGTAATAGTCGCTGCACCATATCCAGACGGTTTTTCCATATTCACGCCAGTGTTCAGGTTGCAAACTTTGGTTTAACATATGAGCCAATTCGGTAGTTGTTATCTCCCTCCTAAGAACGCTCGTGCTGAATTTATTGTCACCCGAGTTTGAGTATCACCACCATTACGAGAGTTCTGACTTCCAGAAGGCTTTCTTGGAACGCGTCTTTTCACCCACGAAGCTACTGGGATAATGTTGGATATCATCAGTGGAAGCGGAAGCCATGTGTTGGCGACGACGGTTACGGCGGGTGTAATTTCGCCAATCATCTTCCGGCTCTGGCGCTTGTAGGGAAGAAGCTAGACGTGGAGTAACACCATATCTCAGATCGCATATTCCTTGCGCCAAGGTTGGCCGACAGCGATAAACGGCCATACCGTTCGTCGGCGAACCGCGATATTATTTAAACGCCTAAGAGAACATATGAGGATCGAAAGAAAACTTTGATGGTGGAATCCAGTCGCTTCACTTACCAATGCTTCATTCCAAATGTTGTGTGGCGCAATCCATCCCTCTGGAATCCAGCAATTGCTTGACTTGGGACAGCGGCTGTTCGCTCGCCTTGGCAAGGACTATATCATGGCTTTCCGAGGGTAAATGACGCAGTCTTTAACAACGATAGAAAGCTGTCGTCAGCACAGTCTCGTCATCTTCGTGGTTCTTCGCATTGAATCCAAGTCCAAAGCAGGCAGTTACTTGTTCTTATCGTCGCACTCGTTTTCAGCGGCTTTTGATCCAGACGACCCAATAGAGGTTGCATGGTTGGATTGCAAAGGCTTCTAGCGTACCACTGACACTCATATCAAGCAAGTTCCCCCGAGGGCAGATTTGGGACAAAGTTCAGATGAATGCGTAGCCGGAATGTCACCCTAATCCGCGTCGACTTGGTAGCATAGTCTTGAGAAATTATTCCAAAGGCGACTTTCTCGACACGGAAAGGTGTTTTATCACCGTATACTCGGGCGATGAAAAGTCCTTTATCTACCTGGAGTGATGTTCTTCGGATATTGACATGTGCCAGCTATAGTGTAGACTCGGACCAAAGACCGTAAACAGAGAGTCGGTTTGTGAATCCCTAGGACATCATAGATAGTGCGTCATTGCCGTATTAGTGTCTTCAAAGCTAGTTTAAAACAAACCATATAGCCCGAGTCGTTGAGGACTGGAAACATTCTAGTGTGCTTGATACTTGATATCGTGACTTTAGGCGAGGAAAACGACGCAAACCCAAGAACGTGGGTGATGTTAGACTATGAAGATTTAGAGTAACACGAATACTCACATTCAAAAGGCCCTTCGTTCCGTAGCATATACGCCAGGGTTGAAGCGACAAAAGGAGCGACCATAACTAGTTGGAGAATGCGCACGATAATGAAAGGCTACACGTTACCGGTTACCGTCTAGCTAGTCGTCAAGCTTCTGGATTATCGATAGCAAGTATCAATCCATAAACAAGATCCCGAGCGAGCCTGATGTGATAGAATTGTCGAGTATGGATGAGCCTAGGTGTATGTCAGGATCGCATAGTGTCGTTCAGCGGTACAAACGAACATGAACGGATTTGAGAGGAACTCATCAGCGCAGTAAAGTAACCTGGGATTGATTTTCGCAGGTTTCAACATGATGCTCTGCGGAGATCATCTTCCAAGGATTGAATAGGGCTCTAATTCGTGCACTGTGCACAGGCATAGACGACGCGTCAGTTGAGAGAACGTCGCGTGTGATATGGCATGTGATTGGGAGAAGAAACAGTGATGTACCCGCTGCAGTCCCGCTGAGATGTCTAGTTCCTGTTTCTCAAACCTTCCGACCGCGAGAGCTTGGTGTGGCTGTCGGGCATCCACAACGAGATGATGGGAAAGGGAGAAAACAGTGACGACCATGTGACATTTTACCAAATCACAGATGTGTCACACCGTCACGATGGTCCGTGGGCTTGATATTGGAGCAAACGCCCACTTCAGTGCCCTACTATATCTCTTGTCTAGGTACGCCTAACGACTATTAGGCGGACTACAAAGAGACTGCGAAGACGATTGAAGACACTATTCGGCAGGAATGGTTCTTCCAAATCAGGCAAATCGATATCACAAGATCACATGCTGGCCGGAATGTGACAGCTTCCGGCGGCGAACCGAAAGGCAAGCAAACTCTTCTCTGCCCTTGACGACGACTACACAGTCCCTTCTCCGTTCTCCCTTCGAACTGTCCCCATCCAAACGCAACTCGATACCCGAAACATAGCGTAAGGACTAGCCCATGGATTGCAAGGGAAAGGTGTTAGGGTGAGGTGTATCAACGCAAGGAAGAAGAGGATTGAGTTGGGATTTAGAGCATCCGTAAAGATGGGAAAACTCTGGAGGAGAACTAAGGCGACAACAGCCGACTCCACAGACGCACAAGGACTCTCAACGACACGGCGCTCACCCGACGTTCTTGACTCTGAATGAAACGCTGGCCCGACCTCCTTGTATGAAACAACCCACCCTAGCTCTTCATCAAACACCCAACCGACCACTTCCCAGCTAGAAGCCCTCAATTTCATACCCTTTCTCTCGGTATAGAACCTCCTCAAAGCCCTCCTTTCCTCATCAGGTCAACCCCTCTCGTCCTGTTCAAGCTCTCCGTCTTCTCATCCCTGCACTCCAAAGTCAAGATAAAGGTACGCTCCCCCTCCTCCCCTCCTCTCCTCTCCCCTTACTCCGACGCTGATCCGGCATTGAACAGCTCATCGTCCTCGTCATTCTCGAATTCGCACTCTCTGTCTCGGGTGCTGTTATCAAGAGTAAGAAGTCGGGTGTTTACGGAGTCCATGACTCGGTACGTTCTCCTGGGTTCTCTCACCTTTATCCTGACGCTAATAAAAGCGTCTTAGTACGGCTCATGCAATCAATATGGCGGATGCAATACCTACACCCCACCACCTACCTGTGATCAATACGGCGGTCGTGACTGGACCTCACCTCCCACCTAAGATTGCGACAACTACGGAGGCTGCGATACCTCGGTACCACCTCCGACTGAGGGCTGCGACCAATACAGCGGCTGCGATGATCAGACTTACTAGGTTTTGGGTCTTGGGTCTTGGGTTCGGGTTTGGATGCTATGTGGTAGGTAGGGTACTGTTTAGGCCCCTCCGCATCATTGTATCCCTCCATCCCTGTCGTGTGTTGATGTATTCCTTATCCGATGAATTGTATTCAAGGTTGTGGTTCAAATTCGTCTCCGGTACTGTTTAAAGACATTACCGTTAATTCCCTGGTAGTATATCGGTTAGTACACGCGCCTGTCATAATATGGGATATGAATTCTGCGCGCGAAAGCTGGGTTCGACTCCCAGCCAGGGAGGTGTCCACTCTGTAGGTGTAACTTTTTTGCCAAGTCTCAAAAGCCTTTTTTGTTCGACATAGATAGGCAAAAGATGCTCGGCCATCCCCGCTGTCGTGAAAACCAAAACTTGACGACTACCACGAGCTGGGAGTCGAACCCAGCTTTCGCACAACACGGGAAGACAACGGCGCGTGTATGACCAATAGACAGTTAGAGCGAATCTTGTGCGGTTAGGACACGCGCCTGTCATTACCATCAAACGGCTCTGCGCGAAAGCTGGGTTCGACTCCCCAGCTATGGAGATTTCCCCTCAATTTCAGCAACTCCCAAAAGACTGTTTTGTTCGACATAGATAGACAGGACGAAAAATATCTCAATCGTGACGGATATCACCAATCTCCCTGGCTGGGAGTCGAACCCAGCTTTCGCTCAACACGGGAAGCCAACGGCGCGCGTATGACCGATAGACTATCAGGGAGTTAGGATGGTTCTCGTGATTTAAATGTAACATCTAGGTATCTCAAAAAGCACTTTTCCCACTCGCCTCAGCTATAAAGAGAACGACTTCTCTGCCTTCGAGCAAACTCTCCAACTAATCACTACCCCACCAAAATCTGTTCAATCAAACCCGACATGTCGATGCCAATGTTGTACATAGAGCAGATATGCACCACACACTTCGTACACCGCCAAATCTTTGTCATTCACAATACAGATCATCCAGCGCCCTTTCACACGATCAACAATGGTTTTTTGATGTGGCCGTCACGCAATCTCTACATGGCGCTGGATCCATTGTGGTTCTCGGAGCCTGGAGGCGCCTGAAGACCGTGTGAGCCGTCCACATTACCTGTTGATGAAGTCTATGTGGTAACCACCTGGTATACCATCTGGCTGTTTTTCAAGGCAATAATATCTATATTATACTTTTGCGCACCATAAATATTCACTCACTAATATGGAATGTTGAAATACTGCCTCCCATACTATGCAAGCAGCACTGCAGTCTGTAGTGCAAATTCGGGTCCCTTTCGCGCGGCCGCGGTGGTTGTGGTTGAAAGTCACATGACAGTTTGGTATTTATATTCGGGCTCCGACCACAAACCTCTCTCGCTCGAACTCCCATCTTTGTGGTTCAAAATCTCTTTCTCTCCCATCGGCTGTATGGACTTTCCCCTTCATGGGGTTCAGATCGCTATTTTGAGGCTGTAATCGTTGAGTGCTCAATTTCTCTTATGTCCTCCAGTTCTAATCCTCAGTCTCAACAGGAATCTAGCCTCGATACGCGTCTTAAAGTGTGGCAATAGCATAAACCACAGGTATGTCTTGCTATCCTACCATTGCAACGCGTAACTGACTAGCATGTGGTCTCTGTATTCGGCCTCAACATCGACTATGACTTGAACATTTGTGCTATACAAGAGTTTCGTAGGTGGTGGAGAATACACTGAGAATACACTTTGGTTGTCTCGAGAAGGTGTGTCTTAACCTTTGAGCTTGTGGGAATTGTTTCTAATGTTACATATAGGCCAAAATACCTTTTCTGTAAGTACGACGAAGCTAGTGCCGCATGCCCATACATGATGACCCCGACAATCATACATATACTGTACTCCTCAGTAATATCATGCATACTGTGTCATATAGATAAACAATGCCAATATATTCAGATTGTTTCTATTCATTTCCAAGAGTTTAGACAGCCGTCTACGGCGTATTGCTACCCTGGGTTTTGAGCAGAATTCCATGAACAAAAATGTGTAACTGTTCTATGAGGAATACAGAATCATTGCGGATGAGACATCACCTAGCTTCCCTCTGTCTGACCACATGGTAGCCAGGCAGACATGGCTCCATGATGGGGCCACTTGCCGAATTACATGGTAGCCAGCGGGGGACAATGTCGTGGCCGAGTGATTGTCGCAGGCGTCCATCAAACTGTTCCCACGTGAAACTCAGCTGGGCCTCAAATGCCGGTGTATGCAACACATTCCTCGGGCGCATCTCTCGAAGTTCCAGCGCTAGACTCGGCTTTATAGATCAGGAAACTTTCAGATGGGAATTAAGCTACGAGGTATAATGCCCGCGTTGCGAGAACTGGGTAAGAGTGAGTAAACGACAGGATGCGAGCGATCTAGAAGATGCCAAAGTATGTGATTTCAAATGAGTACGTCTTAATCTTTACCTCGCAATGTCTTTTAGAGTGTTCCAATCATAGTTTGTCACTGCCAAAGCCAAATACGTCTCACTGTTCGTAGAAGCAGTTCCCTTTCATCCTCGAAACGATCTCTCCAGACGGGACCTCGTTTACGTGTACTTATCTAGTAAAGCTGGCTCCAAGTTGTCGAGACCTTACTGTATCCATCACCGAAATAAAGCAATCCAAGACTTCCAGCGGCGCAGTATGAGGTCTTTGCCATCACCTACAGGATCACCTCAGACTAATTAAAAGAAGTGAGCAGCTATCACGCAATGGCTGCAGTCGAAACATCTCAACCATCTCGTCTTGAAAATCAAAATTTTCCTGCCCACTTTCATATCTCCCTGGCTGGGAGCCGAACCCAGCTTCACGCGCTGACTGGGAACTCTAGGCGCGTGTATAGCTGATAGACTATCAGGGAGTTAGGGTGGTTCTTGTGATTTGAGTGTGAGATCCAGGTGAATTCGACGTTCTTCCGTGATCACCATGCATTACAGAAGCACCATAATCTTTTTGGATCAATCAGATCAAGCTTGCTTTGGAAGTTCGTTCGTTTCGAGCCCGTGTACCAAGAATTTCCTACCTGCATCCTCGACTGAGCCGAACTCAGCTTTCGCGCGGACCTGGGAGTAGCTGGGAATGACAGGCATGTGTATGACCGATAATCTACCAGGGACTTAGGGTACGTCTTGTCGCACTGAGTCTCAGGTGTAAATTCCGCGCTGATAGTCGACTGCTAGTCCTTCCAGTCCTCAAGTAGTAGTATAACAGACGATGTACTTACCTATACGGGGATAAACATGGGTAGCCTGGGCATTTACTCTACAGCACCTGCCACGCAAAAAGGGCTGCAGTCAGATCAGGGGAGACCTGACCGGTTTAATATGGTTTCATCACTTGGGGTAGTGATAAAGGGTGGCCTACCAGCCATCGTATTTACAAATCATCTACCATCGAGATGTGTTCGTATTCGGTTGGATTCGGAACCGTTCTTGAATGTGCGATGTAACAATCTCAAGATAAACAATCACGGAGCTTGCGTAGGTTAGGCGGAAATACGATACAAACATTCATTCGGCTGAAGACCCGCTACTTTTGGAAATATTAACGCCCATCAGGCGCCTTGTGAATAGTAGTTGACTCATTACTCATATCAAGCCCAAAAGCACAAGGAAGTTAAGTATTTGGTATCTAGACTCTGGAATACCATCCTAAAGCTATACATGGGGGAAGACAGGTTTTGATTATACAGTATTACCAATGTTCCCGAGATGTCCATACAAGTCCCAAATCGCTAGTTATTCATTGATGAAATTGTCGAAGTACAATATCCAGGAGGCTGTTCATCTTCACGCCAGCGCTCAGGTTGCAACCTCTGGTTCAACATGTGAACCAATTCGGCAGTTGTTATATCCCTCCTAGCAACGCTCGAAGATGAATCTGTTGTCGGCCTCAATGACGAACCTACTGTCGTCTGAGTTTGATCATCGCTATGAGAATTATGACTTGCAGAAGGCATGAATTTTTTGGAACCCGTCTTCTCACCAACGAACCCTCTGGGATATGGCTGGATGTCATCGGAAGGCATGCGTTGGCGTCGACGTCGAACCATATACAGCGAACCGACGATCATTGCCGTCATAACGAACAGGCCGCCCATCACACTGCCTACTATCCCTGCTATAGGCAAGGTCCTCTTTTGCGTTATCGATGGAGGTTTTTCTTCGTATGCGAGGTTGATGCCCGTGACTAGCACTTGCGCTGCCCTTACTTGATCATCGGCTGAGTACTGAGTGGCTGGGAGTCCTGTCCACGAGCTTCCGTATATATCCGTTCCGGGAACAGTTGCCAGGTTGGTCACCGCGTTGTACTGCAATAGTTTCTTGTCAACGGATGACAATGTATGATATATAACATGAATACCTGAACTGCTAGATAGCTATCTAGGTACGCCGTGATATCCGTGCTCTCAGATTCGAAAGCACGAGCAATCGAGAGCCCACGAACGAGATTAAGGTCACCAGTTCTACTTACTGTATGAAATGTTGACTTGGATGTGATAGAGACCAGCATGATAAATACGTACTGTTTAGAGACACAATACCTCGTCCATCATGCCATGGTGGGTACTTCGTCGAAGCCAGAACACTGTTCATCAATCTGGTTCACATTGGGTGAGCATTGGGGATAGTAACATGAATAAGAAACCTTTAGCATGCCTCTCTTGAATGGTTTTATTTGCCCAGATAGACGACAAAACAGCGAGTCCCTCAACAGCATAACCAGCATTCCACGGGTCCTTCGTCTCATCTGTCACAATCTGACACGTTTGAGCGTTCATTGCGACTTTCCACAGAAACAAAGAATCGTCAGTGTAGACCCTAGATAAGATAAAATTCGCGGATTGTTGTGCCGCTTGGGTATAAGTACTGTTCTGAGTAATTTCGGCGAGTAGGGCACATATTCTGAGCATGAGTTTGATACATTAATAGAAGGTATTGAAAACAATTCTGCACGTACCTGAGATATCGTCTGTAATATGAAAAGAGATGAAAGGTTTGAGTTCCATTTGAAAGAAAGGACAGGTGTAGGCTCACGCAGTATCTGACGTTATAATATCGGCATTGGGGAATGCCATCAATCCGCCACGTATGTCGGCCGCTAGTATGAGTAGGATGAAAGTCTTTAATGGAATACAATGTCCAAGCAAGGATTCAGGAACTCACACGTGCCACATTTGCTGTATGAGTCCATAGTAGCACGAGCGTTATCCGAAAAGATTTGATATAACGGAGGTACGCCAGTATCCGAGACCACA